TTCATCTACAGCACATGTTTTCGAAGACATATATTTGATATAACATATTTTTGATAATCCTTTTCTTGGACAAGACATTTCCCTGATAATTATTTCTCCGACACATAATTCTAACCAACACTAACTTTAAATCAACCAACCCTAAAGTAGAGGTCGGAACCGATTGTAAATTTTAAGACCCGAATTGGATTTGCATGTAATATAAAACCGGTTATTATTTAAGTTAAACCGGGTGGGTCGCATGATGTAATATATGATATGATGTAATTGGTTAACCAACAATAATTCTGATTGGCCAAAATCATTTACTTTGTTCACGTGAAAATTTAACATTTCCTCAAAAAATATCGATTAAATCAATTAATAATAAAATATAACACTTCGAAACATGCTAGAAATAACCCGGATTAAGTTTTAAAAACCGGATTGTCTGAATTTTACAACCGGATTAAGATATTATAAAACCAGATTTAATATTAAATCGGGTTAACCCGAATTTATACCCGAATTTTATTAACCGGTTCCGACCTCTACCCTAAAGCTAAATCGAGCCAATTTTATGTCGAGGAAATGATTGTCGGGAAATGTTCTAAGAAAAGGATTGTCGAAAATATATAATGTCAAATATATGTCTTATCGAAAAAAAATGTTCTGTAGATGAAATAGCATGTCGGCATTACGGTGAGTTAGTGGGTAAATAGCTTTCGGGGAATTGAGCGACAACCATTTTGGCAGAAATAGATAACATATTTATTTCAAATGAGCGATGTGTAAACATAAAATTTCATTTTCCGATAAATTTGTGATAATGAATTTTGTCGTTGAAAAGTTTATTTATTTCGTTAATGTGAGTCTCTAAACACTCTCATTTCATCAAAATTTTGATACAAAAATAAGTTTTTTTAACTCCCACTTATTTCCAAAATACGGCCCTTAGTTTTTTACATTTCCACATTTTAAAATTCTCTAGGTAGAGCGAAACGCTCGAAGCAGTTTTTTACGATTGGATAAGTCGAAACAACTTAGTGAAGTTCCTTTTTATATTGTTTTGTAATAAAAACTTTTACACTATTATTTGTTTACATGATCCGATTTTTATACATATTTTCTTTTTATTTATCGTTATATATTTTTACTGTAATTAAACCCTTTTTTTTTACAATCTCCATGTTATGCCCGAGCGTCGTAATCTGACGGATAATGCCATTATTGGATGATTCGCATCCAATAACTAGATTCAAACATGGATTTCTGGTAGAACTAAATAATTGAATTTATTTAAAGAGACTTGTGCTGTGAAGGAATAACAAATATTCTCATAAACATATGTATGTTATATTCCTGTATACCCATACATAATGTTATATTTAATACAGACATAAAAAAATCAAAATTATTAACAACACTAATTAATTATATACTTGTAAACAACAAATTTCTGATACGTTCAAGCAAGGGAAAAGATATCTAATAATAGCTTGAAAGGAAAATTTTACGTATAATACCTATTTCAATAATGTCAACTCAATTCTTGATATTGAGTCATTAAAAAATAATAATTATATATGCTCAATAAATTAAGGATGAGAACCTCTTATGATTAAACGCAAACACTAGTTGTATCTTGTTGTTCACAGCCCGGTGTTATGCAGTCATCGCTAGTTACACATGGATCACCTAACTTACAATTTTTCTTCTGACCTCCCACCTTGCAGCCATTGGCTAAATTGCGTACACAAACAAAATTTTCACAATTCTTGAATATGCAATCATTATTAGAGCTACAAGGAAAGCCTGAATGACAATCACGCTTTCCTTCGCCTGTTGAACAAGCTACGCAATAAAAAGAATTTCAAGTTTGGATGTTAGTTTGGAAAATGGATGCCGTTATTTACTATGAGGATTTAATCATTCACCTTTAATTATTGGAGTCCACGCTAAACTAAGAGCTAGGCTCAAAATTATACTAATGATGATGGTATAGAATGTTGATTTCATGACGAATATGGAGTTGATTGTAACTTCTTTTTCTTGTCAAGACGTACATACGTACGTACGTATATATACGTTATGAAATTGCACAAATTACAGTCGTAGTTTCAGCTTCGGCGATCATTTAAGTCTTTTTAAGATACGATGTCCGTTTATTTTGTCTTACGATTGAGTGTTGATCAAACCACTTCTTTAAAACGAATTTAAAGCAACTTAATTGGTGAAGTAAATTTAATGTTATTAGTCAAAAGTTTATGATTGGTCAATTTTTTGATACATAATTTGAGTGCGTGAGAATGAAAACCTGTAACTGATCATAGTAAATCATTATAATCAGTTCCAGGTTTTTATTCTCATGCACTCATTTAGGTCAGGATTAGTTTATTGTGATACCATAATATTAAAAATAATTGTTTCCTATAAATTTCACGGGCTTTTATTTTCAAGGTTGGTTAGTAGATACAGGGTCCATGCATAAAAGATTTGATTCTAATTTTTGAAATTTTATATTTAAAGTTAAATCTAAGTTTTTTTCTCTATTCTTTCAATAATTTGATCTTAATGCCCCCGAGTTTCAAATTTTCCAACTTAATATATGATTGAAATCATGATAAGATCGTTTTATTTAAAATTTTACTAAGTGAATCGACATTTGCTTTTTTAATAAAGCTCGCTGTGAATTTTACACGAATCGGATTAAAAAATAACCGGATTGTCGGCAATATGTACCCTATTTTCGTGTGTAAGTTTAATCGATAAATTATAAGTTTGTTTTTTCTATGGCAGGTTATAATGACTGACGAAACTATTTTTGCAATGACGAAATAATTTCGTCATGGTTTCGTCTGACGAAACCCTTGGCGATTGACGAAACCCCTGACGTTTGACGAAACCCTGACGTTTGACGAAACCCTGACGTTTGACGAAACCCCTGACGTTTGACGAAACCCTGATGACTTGACGAATTGATTTATTAACATAACGATATA